TTTCTTTCTACTTAGATTCCACATATGAGTGAGATCATGTACTATTTGTCTGCGCCCAGCTTATTTCACTTGACACAATGGTCTCCAGTTCCATCCATGTTGATACAAATGACAGGATTTCATTTTTAAAATATATAGCTGAATAGCATTCCATTGTGTATATATACCACAGTTTTTTGGGGTTTTTTAATCCATTGATCTATTGATTGGCATTTAGATTGATTCCATCTCTTGGCTATGGTGAATAATGTTGTGATGAATATAGGAGTGCAGGTGTCTTTCTGATATATTAATTTAATTTCCTTTGGGTATATATCCAGTAGTGGGATTGCTGGCTCATAAGATAGTTCAATTTTTTGTTCTATGAGGAACTATTCTTTCTTTTTCTGGTTGTTTTGTAGATCCTTTTCTCCTTTTTTCTGGTCTCACTGTCTTCCTTTGTGATTAATGGTTTTCTTGAGTAGTATATTTGGATTTCTTGCTGTTTATTTTTAGTATGTCTATTATAGGCTTTTGTATTATGGTTGCCTTGAGGCTTAGATAAAAACATGTATAGTTATAACAGATTATTTTAAACTAATAATACCTTAACTGAACTTTGATCACTAAGAAAAAGGAAAAACAAAAAAACAAGAACAACAACAACAAAAAAAANAAAAAAAACAAAGTCAACTCCATGCTTTGATATTATCCCTCCCACTTTTTGACATTTTGTAATTTCACGTTATATCTTTTAATATTGTCTATCTCTTATACAGTTGTTGAATTTGTTATTATCTTGTTGGGTTTGTCCTTTAATCTTCACAGTAAGAATGTAAGTTGTTTATTCACCACCCTTACAACATTGGAGTATTCTGAGATTGTGTACTTACTTTACTAGTGAGTTTTGTACCTTCAAATGTTTCTTGTTACACTTTAGCACTGTCTTCTTTCAGCTTGAAGAACATTTCTTGTAAAGCACGTCTAGTGTTAATGGATTTCCTTAGCTTTTGTTTGTCTGGGAAAGACTTCATTTCTCCTTCATATTTGAAGGTTAGTTTTGCTGGATATAGAATTCTTGGTTGACAGTCTTTTTCCTTCAGCACTTTGAATATATCATCTTGCTGTCTCCTGGCTTGTAGGGTTTCTACTGAGAAATTTGTTGAGAACAGTATTGGGGTCCCATTGAATGTTATGTGTTTCTTTTCTTTTGCTGCTTTTGGTATCCTTTCTTTGTTTTGGGTTTTTGATAATTTTATTATGCTTTGGAGTGTTTTTTTAAAAATTGAATTTGATTAGTGACCTCTGAGTTTTCTGTACCTGGATGTTGTCATTTTCTACATACTTGGGAAATTTTCAGTCATTATTTCCTTAAATATGTTTTCTAGGTCTCTTCCTTTATCATCTCCTTCAGGTAGACCAATTACACAAAGGTTATTTTGATTGAAGAAGACCCATAATTGCTAAAATTCTGTTTCATTTTTTCTTATTCTTTTTTCCTTTCTGTACTCTGATTGGATAATTTCATGTGTTCTGTCTTTGAGCTCACTGATTCTTTCCTCTTTTGAAGTCTGCTATTGGACTTTTCCACTGAAGTTTTCAGTTCAGATGTTCTTTATTTCCAGAATTTCTATTTTTTTAATTGATTCTATTTCTTTCTCAAGTTTCTTGTTCTGTTCCTGGATTATCTTCCAAATGTGAGTTAATTTTCTGTCTGTATTTTCTTCTGAGTCCTTGAACACCTTGCAGAGGATATTGTGAATTCTCTGTCAGACACTTCATAAATCCACTGTTCTTCTGGGTCCATTGCTTATGCTTTTTTGGTTTCCTTTGGTGGTATCATATTTCTCTGTTTCTTCTTGATGTGTGTCTTTATGTTAATTCCTGTGAATTTGAGAAGATGGCTACCTCTTGCAGATTTTACAGGTGCTCTTTGGTGATGTTAGACCTTTACTGCTCAATATCAGAACTTTGTCTCTGGTCTGTGCTTTTTACCTGTCCTATAGTGGATTAATAGTAACTAACACCACTTAAGCACTGCCTTGGAACTAATTTGCTTTCCTGTGGTTAATTCTCATATTGGAAGGACTTCCTTCAGGGACTGGAACTTGAACTTTGTGCCTGAGCTAAATTGCTGCCTAACTTGTTTCTCAGACTGGGAAAAACTTTGTGCAGGCTGGATTTTAATCATCAGCCTTCTAGTCACTTCCATGTCATGCAACTGGGCTGTGTGGAAGTTCCACCCTGGGACTGAGTCTTTCTCACAAACTTTACCCCCTGCGGTTTGATCACACTGACTGGTCTCCACTGTGTGGCACCCACATCAATTGGAAGGTAGATCAGATGCCTATGCTGCTCCCGAATGCACCCCTTGTGGATCAGCTGCCCACCTCTAGGACTGCAAACACTTCCTGTGGGATTAGCCCCACATGAGCCCCTGACTTCTGGGTGAATCCCTTCTCTCCTAGGCTGCAGCCCTCCCCTCCTATGCAAGTACCAGGGAAGCTCACAAGCAGCTTTTTCTGGTGTGTGAAATGGGATAATGCACTCTGATGTGATTTACTTTTTCTTCTCTTCCTTTTTTCGTTTCTTTTTTTTTTTTTTTGCTAGTGGTCATGTCACCCTTCACATCTGCAGACTCCAAGTAGCTCCATGCAAAGGGTGCTGCTGCAGCTTTGCCATCTCCAGGGAGCTGCTCCATGTGCTATGCAATGCTGGCCTAGGGAATGGCTGGGGCTGGGTATGATCAGG